AAAAAAAAAAAAAAAAAAAAAAAAAAAAAAAAAAACAATTAATTGTGTGAAGACTTTAGGTAGGCATTGGTTCAGTATGTAAAATTAAACTAACTTTAAGGATCTCTTGAGTCCTTGAACAGGCCAGGCTGCAATGGCTGGGCAAATTAATCTAGAACTTATGGATTTCTAAATGAAAATTAATTGCTAAGGTGGACAAGCAGACTCCCACGCATATACATATCACTGGCCTCTTGAATACACATCTGAGGCCTGCTTATAGGTCTACGTGACTCCAAGTCTCAGATGTTCTGAGTCAGTCAATGACCCATGTTTCATTTCATGAGGTACCTGCTATTCAAGTCAATAGCAAAAAATGGCCCAAAGAGATTCTCAGCAGTACATAAGAAACAGCTGCCACAGTGGACTCAGGCCAAAAAAAAAAAAAAAAAACAGTTTTTTACTTGTCTTTCCTCCACTTAGTATAGTCCTGCTAATGCACATGTCATAAAATCTGCTGTGAAACATACATCGGATCACCAAGACGTCCTTGTTCAAAATCTCCATGTTGTTTGGGCTAGAGCTCAAACCCTTCAGCCTCACATGGAGGATGCATTCCAGTGTGGTCTCTGCCCACCTCCAGCCACTTCCCAGGGTACCTTTCATTCTGACCCCAGTGGTGGTTCTCTCACATCTTCTCAGGCCTCCGTGCGAGAAGAATACCTGATGCCCCAACCCACCCTGGCCCCAAACATTCTCTGTCTGAGAGCTCCTCATCCCTGAGCTTCTGCTCCAGGCCCCTCCTTCTGATGCCTTCTCTAAGTGCTGCAACTCCAGTCCTCTGCCCTCCTCCTGCTCCACTTTGCTTCTGACGCCTGGGCCTCTCTTCTTCTATGGCAGCACTTCTCACAGGGGCTGGAATCATGCGCTTTCTCATCAGTCCTTCCCATCAGTATGTGAGCCTCTCCTGAGTTGAGGTCATGTCTTTCCCTTCTATTTCCATGACCTAACACACCTAGCTCCCCATGGCAGGTGAGTTATCACTGCTCCCACTGCTCCCAGAACCATTCCTGGATGACTCTCCAACCCTCTGGCTGATGTACCTGCCCCTGCTTGCCCTGTGCAAAGTGCTTGCCCTGTGCAAGGTGCTCTCCTCCGTGCATGTGCTGGACCTGGAAGCTTGGGGCTACATCAAGCCCCACGTGGACAGCGTCAAGTTCTGCGGGGCCACCATCGCAGGCCTGTCTCTCCTGTCTCCCAGCGTTATGCGACTAGTGCACACCCAGGAGCCGGGGGAGTGGCTGGAACTCTTGCTGGAGCCAGGCTCCCTCTACATCCTTAGGGGTTCAGCCCGTTATGACTTCTCCCATGAGATCCTTCGGGACGAAGAATCCTTCTTTGGGGAGCATCAGATTCCCCGGGGCTGGCAAATCTCTGTGATCTGCCGCTCCCTCCCTGAGGGCATGGGGACAGGGGAATCTGGACAGTCGCCCCCAGCCTGCTGACCCCTAGCTTTCTAGACACTGGATTTCTGAATAAAGCTGGGAATGGACAACCCACAAAAAAAAAAAAAAAAAAAAAAAAAAAAAGAGGGGGTTTTTCCTCCCCCCCTGCCATGCCTTTTTCTCGACAACCAAAGATTCCAAGGACAGAATTATATTCCAAGCATTCTAACAAGACTCATAAGATGTTAAAGCTGAAGGGGCGCTTAGAAATCATCTGGTCCAGGGGCTTCCAAATGCCTTTCTGCAGGCTGCTGCTAGATAAGACTGCAAAAGAGTAACATGGAGAATGACTTAAAAATACAGATACCCTAATGGCATTAATGCATTCGTAACGGCAGAAAAAAGAAAAGAGAGAGAAAAATATATATTTTAAAAAAATACATAGATACCCAGGCTCCACCATGATAATTCTGATGCAATAGGTCTGGGATGGATCCCTGCTTTTGGGGTTTTTTTTTTTTGTAAGCTTCCCTGTTGATTCTAGTGCACCGGTCTAGTCCAAACTCTTCATTTTTTATACATGGAGAAGGGAGGTCCAGAGAGGGGAACAGTCACCAAATGCTAAGACTTATGACTGGCACTGAGGGCACAAAGCTGAAGGCCCAGACCCTACGCTTGAGCACCTACACACACATAATCCACTGGAAACATCTGTGGGCACCACTGAGGCTCATCAAAGGCACAGAATTCCTACAGAAGTCACCTCACCCTCCCTTGTGCTCCCTTTTGCTTTATTTATTCTTCCTCGCATCAAAATTTTCTACCTTTACTGTAGTTTACTGAATATTTCAGTAAAATGTTCTCTTTCTCACAATTTTATAAGCCCCTCAATAGGCACTCACTAAATTTTTGTTATTTCTAGATTTGGATCTCTACGTGGATACCTAATAGGCACCTGAGATCTACTATGTCTGAAATCTAGCTCGATTTCCTCCTACAGCCTTCCCCATTTCAGCAAATGACAATGCCATTCTTCCACCTACTTAGGCCTAAACCTCTCTTTCTTTCACACGCTTCATCCAATCCACAAGCAAATCCTGTCAACTCAACCTTCAAAATATATTCAAGTCCAGCCATTTCTCACCACCTCTACCATCACCTCTCCTGTATTCCCACAAAAGCCTGCTAACTGATCTCCTTGCTTCCACCATCAATCTTTATCCCTTTACACTGCTTTATTTTCTTCCCAGCACTTATCACCACCCAGTATACATTATATAATTGTTCATCACCTCATTGTCTTTTTGTAAATTCCAGTGTGTTTACAGGAAGGTAATCCACCATGAGAACGGAGTAACAGGCCAGGCACAGTGGCTCATGCCTATAATCCCGGCACTTTGGGAGGCCAAAACAGGCTGATCACCTGAGGTCAGGAGTTCGAGGCCAGCCTGACCAACATGGTGAAACCCCGTCTCGACTAAAAATATGAAAATTAGGGCTGGGTGCAGTGGCTCACACCTGTAATCCCAGCACTTTGGGAGACCAAGTCAGGCAGATCACGAGGTCAGGAGATCAACACCATCCTGGCCAACATGGTGAAACCTTACCTCTACTAAAAATACAAAAATTAGCTGGGCATGGTGGTGCATGCCTGTAATCCCAGCTACGTGAAGGCTAAGGCAGGAGAATTGCTTGATCCCCAGAGGCAGAGGTTGCAGTGAGCTGAGATCGCACCACTGCACTCCAGCCTGGCGACAGAGCGAGACTTCATCTCAAAAAAACAAAAAAAAATGAAAATTAGCCAGGCACGTGGTGGGCACCTGTAATTCCAGCTACTCAGGAGGCTGAGGCAGGAGAATCACTTGAACCAGGAAGTTGAGGTTGCAGTGAGCAGAGATTGTGCCATTGCACTCCAGCCAGGGCGACAGAGGTAGACTCTGTCTCAAAAAAAAACAAAAAACAAACAAAAAAACACTAAGGAGGAACAACTTGACAAGCTCTTTGTTCAGAATTAAGATTATTCAAGATAGTCACAGATTCCCAAGTGGGTTTATTATGAATCAAACATTTTGCAAATATGCAACTTTTTGTTTTACTTTTTAAAATTTTAGACCTTCAGTGGTGATGGGACCTCATCAGTGGGAAGGGGTCTACCTGAAGTACCCTGTCTATAAATCCTGGGTCCTTGTAATGGCTGATTAAATTAAATATTTTATCACTGGGGAGTGCCTACTGCCCTATGTCCCATGACAAGGTTGTCTGTTTTGAGGATGGGATCAGTGTGACACCACAGGAAAGAAAAGGCTAGCTCTGATAACAATAGGAAAGAGGTAGGCACAGGAAGGGCCTGAGTCTTAAGAAAAGAAGACACAAAAGAGTGGGCAGGGTGGCTCACACCTGCAATCCCAGCACTTTGGGAGGCTAAAGCAGGTGGATCACTTAAGGTCAGGAGTTCAAGACCAGCCTGGTCAATATGATGAAATCCTGTCTCTACTAAAAATACAACAATTAGCCAGGTGTGGTGGTGCATGCCTGTAATCCCAGCTACTCAGGAGGCTAAGGTAGGAGAATTGCTTGAACCCAGGAGGCAGAGGTTGTAGTGAGCTGGGATCACACCACTGCACTCCAGCCTCCAGCCTGGGCGACAGAGCAAGACTCTGTCTCAAAATAAAAAAAGAGAGAGAGAAAAAGAAATGATACTGGCCAGGCACTGTGGCTCGCACCTATAATCCCAGGTATGAGGCTGAGGCAGGTAGATCATTTGAGACTAGGAGTTCAATACCAGCTGGGCAACATGGCCACACCCCCATATCACTACAAAAAATAAAATTAAATTAAAATTAAAATTAGCTGGGCATGGTGGCACGTGCCTGTAGTCCCAGCTACTCAAGAGGCTGAGGTGGGAGGATTGCTTGAGCCTGGGAGGTTGAGGCTGCAGTGAGCGAGGATTGCACCACTGCACTCCAGGATGGGTGACACAGCAAAACCCTGTCTTCGAAAAGAAAAGAAAAGAAAAGAAAAGAAAAGAAAAGAAAAGAAAAAAACAAATAAAAAGAAAATACAACTCTGTGAACAAACTGAAATACCAATGTACTGTATACTTTAAATGGGTAAATTGTATGGCATGTGAATTACATCTCAATAAAGCTGCTGTATTTTTTAAAAGGTAGAAAAAGAACTAGAGGTAGCTGGGATTATACAAGACTATAAAACTGACTGGGACAAGAAGAAACCAGGCATAGACAGCAAACACAGTTTACACAGAGCTGAGGATTTTGACAAAAACTGATATTTTGTAAACTGTACCCCTTTTACCTTTCCTTATTTGCAAACAGATCTCGGCAATAACCTGGCACCACATTTTGTTAGAAGGAAACAGGACCTAGAGATTTGAGAAAAAGGGGTACAGGACTCCTCTTGTTCACACACCATGCTGGTGTGTTCCTCCCAGTGAACTTTGCAAATGCATCATCTCTTGGTAGTGGGGACCCCTAAATTGAAGCAAGAAGCCAGCAGCCGCAGACCTGCTGCAAACCAAGCCTCGACTCCCGAGGCAAAGGACCCTAGAAAACAGAAAGTGGCCATTCCACAAGATTACTCTTTCTCCACTTCTGGTACCTCTGTGTTTGGTGGCTTTGAGGGTGCCACCAGTCTCATCCACCACAGACAACCTACAGTTCCAAAGCTTCCTAAACTGACAGTCTGGAGGGGCACAAGGAGCATGCTATTACTCTGAGAGGCATCTCTATGGTTGCCTGAGTTTAGGAGCTGGTGAGTCAAAGGGCTGGTAAAGTTTCCCTCCCAGGTGCTCTGTTCTCAGTCCCCTTTCCTTACACACACACACCCATACCCCCTCTTCTCTTCCTCCTCCTCTCTCTCCCTATTCCTTCTTCCATGGTACACTACGCTTTCTCTCTATATGTTCTATTCCCCCATCCCTTCTCCTTCTCCCCTCCACCCCCACCACTGCCTCTCCAGCTCCCACTCTCTCTCTCATGTCTCTCTGCCTCCCCAGCTCCTGCTCTCTTCCTCATGCCTCTCTTCCTCCCTCTTCTCTCCTTTCCCTCTCAACACAGATCTGGGGGTTCTCTTTCAGCACGACTGTTCAGACATGAAGGAAGCCAGCTTTCAGCAGCAAAGTAGGGCCCCAGCCAAAGCAGCCTTTCACCAACAACCCAGCACAGCAACAGATGCAATATCTAGGCGTTCTGTATGTGCCTACTGTACGTCCCTGGTGATCCAAGGGAATGACAGGCAATGACATGTCCCTATGTACCTTTCAACGATCAGACAAATGGACTATTAAGAGCCTCCACATAGTGAAATGTCTACAGATAAAATAATGTGACATTTGGAATTGGCCTCAAAATAACGCAGGGCAAGAAAAAGAGAGCAAGGAGGAAATACATAAATGAAACAAGATGGACCACATAGCCAGGCATGGTGGTATGTGCCTGTAGTTGCAGCTACTTGGGAGGCTGATGTGGGGGGATTGCTTGGGCCCAGGAGGCAAAGGCTGCAGTGGGCCTTGATCGCGCCACTGCACTCCAGATTGGGTGACAGAGTGAGACACCGTCTCAAAAAAAGAAATAAAATTAAAACAAAAAATTGACCATGAATTGATAACTATTGAATCTGAGTGAGTACAGAGGTTTATCATATTATTTTTTTCTATATTTGTACATTTCAGCACAATAGAGACCCACCCTTTGGCTAGTAGATTCTATGGGTCCAACTAAGATACACCAAGATCACATACTCATCAGGAAAGCTATTATTTAAAAACAAAACAAGGCCGGGCGCAGTGGCTCACACCTGTAAATCCCAGCGTTTTGGCAGGCTGAGGCAGGCAGATCACAGGTCAAGAGATGGAGACCATCCTGGCCAACATGGTGAAGCCCTGTCTCTACTAAAAATACAAAAATTAGCTGAGCATGTGGTGCACGCCTGTAGTCCCAGCTACTCAGGAGGCTGAGGCGGGAGAATCACTTGAACCTGGGAGGCAGAAGTTGCAGTGAACCAAGATCGCACCACCGCACTCCAGCCTGGCAACACAGCAAGACTCCGTCTCAAAAATAAAATAATAATAACAAGTGCTAGTGAGGATGTGGAGA